CCACGATGGATCACTTCCTGATCACATCAATGGGTTATCATCGTTGGAATATTTAGATCTAAGTGGAAACAATTTCATTGACTTACCATCTTCCCTCATTTCCAATCTTTCCAAGCTTACTGTTCTTGGTCTCGGTTATTGCCCCTGGCTTCGGTCTTTGCCACAACTTCCGTCAAATCTATCAGCTATATTCGCAAACGGTTGCCCGTCAATGGAACATCACAGAAGTTCACAACAGTTATGGGATCTCATTGGATCATTTCAACCTCAGGCTTATTTTATTTGTCTTTGCTTGTTCTTTCATCTTGGTCATTTTACTTCTTTAACATGGAAAATTGTTTCTTATAAGTTCACAACTATTTAAATATCAAGTCTTCAATTATAAGAAGGGATTCAGAAATTGTGAGTTTTTAGAATTACTTGAATCTTTTCTTAAATTCTTTGATAATAAATATCTAGTTTATTTGACTTTTACATGTATATTAACATTTCTTCTGATTAATTATCATACTTACAACAAAAGAATTTTTTTTTTTGTCCCAGCGTGACTTCTTCATGCAACCTACTCGCCTATTAATAATTCCGGGTAGCCAAGTGCCGTCATGGTTTTATAATCAGAACTACTTTTGTGAAAAAGAATTCAATCATCCAAATGTGTCATTCATAATAAGCATATCCCCTGATTATTGTGATTCACGTGAATGGTGGGGCATAGCCATATCTTTAATGATAGAAAATGATTTTGCATTTGGATCAGGGGTGGATGCAATTTGTTGGACTTACAGATTTCCTAATGATAAATTTCCAATTACATATCACAGCCATGATATTTATTTAGATTCAAGTTGTGGTCATCAACTTTGTATTATATATATTCGGTGTTCCTCTTTGATTGTGAACGGACTTCAAATGGTATTTTTGGCTAAGAATGCAATTGTAAAAAAGTTCCCAACATTTAAAATAAGAAAGTGTGGGTGGCGAGCGGTGTGTAAAGAGGATGTTGAAGCTTGGCAAAGAACGAGGAACGAAGATTGTAGTAGCATCAATAATTACAATATCAGTGAAGTTGAGAAAAATGGAAGTTATGGTCACTGCCCGAGACATCATGATCCATTCATCGTTGAAAAAGATGACTACATACTCCCAAGGTACGTAGATCAACCCTTCTTGTTTTAGATTAAATATATGATGGCTATTTAAAATTTTCTTTGATGCACTAATGTAATATAATCTTTCAATTCATATAAGTATTATATTCCCTTAATTATCTCATTTTCATAGGCGCTGTTCGGTTAATGGTTTTGGCCGGATTTGTCTCCATATCTTGGATAATTTTTCTTATTTTTCACCTTTTACTTGTATGACATAATTTATTTTCAACAGTCCATCAAAGGTCAAACTAGATTTTATATATTCCCTTAATTTTTTTCCCATTGATTTGTGGCAGAAGTCATAAGTTGAAGAAGATTTTACCTCATTTTTATGTTTTAACACATCATATAATTATGTCCTATAATAGTCTTTTTTTGCACAACTATAAAAGAGAATCCCAATGTAAGGATACACATGATTGTACTAAGGGCATACCCTTGCAAGTGAATGGTAGGGCATACCCTTGCATACCATGATGAGGTTAATTGTTGGACTGACTTCAACTTCAACATTAGCCACAATGACTAAGTTCATTATTACTGGAGGAGGTTGTTTGGTTAAGAAATATCAAAATAAAAGATAATTAAGATAAGAAACTAATGCTTTAGACAAAAGGCTTTATATTAAGGATCTTAGGAAACGGTTATATATGTAATAAGGACAGGAGAAAGTATTAATAGATATAAGATCCAATTGTTGTAGGTCATCAACTATATATCTTGCATAATCATTGGTCTTGTTTTGTTGTAATTGAACCAACTTGAAATATCATTTTACACCATATATTAAGTCAGTACCATTTAAAATAAGCTCGTGTGAGTGGTGTTTGTTGTGTAGAAATGTTGGAAGATGGCAAAAATCCAGAGATGAAGTTGATAGTGATTCACGTGGCTTCAGCAATCCTAATGAAGTTGACAATAAAGAAGGCTGTAACTGTTGGGAGTGGATGTCAAACTTTTGGCATTCCATTGAGCATATATTTCAAACTTGGTGTTAAGGTATATTCATACTTTCTAGTTCACTTTCAGACTTTCTAGTTCAACTATATCTACGCCAATCACAAAACCGGTCCAGAAAGCTTTGTTTTGTCCCCCTTTACTATCTAGTGTCAATTCTAGGTACGTGTTTTGTTTCTTTCAGTAAGAATTTCTTGTTATGAATGAGACCCTCCCTAGAAATGGGGTGATTGTCCTCCTCCTTTTTTATTCATTTTCCTTTTAACTTTGTAATTTTCTTTCAAATAAAAATACATCTACTCTGATGACATTTATGTCTTCTTGAGTCATAAGCTGAAGAGTGGTCCTGACAGGGTTTCTTTTTTAATGGAAAAGGAATTTTATTACTCGAGATATTTACAATGGGAATACAGCAGCTAAAGAGGAAGAAAGAAAACAATCAGTAGCGCTAAGTTACATTCAGAAAGAAATCTTTAGCTTTAATAACATGGTTAGTCCAAGAAAGGGCTTCATTTATGAGCTTGTGCGCTTCTGTATTGTCTTGGCAGAAGAGGAACCTACTTCGGGCACTCCAGAGCTTCCAGCAGATGATACCAAACAAGATGCTCCAGTGGGCTCCTTCTCTCTTAGCGTTCAGGTGTTGCTTAAACCAAGCATTAAAAGGCTGGGCGAAGAAAGTGATGATCTGATCTGCCGGGAGAGCAAGATTCCAGCACGCAGGGGCAAGGTTGCATCTTCGAACTATATGGTTTAAGTCTTCTGTCTTCTTCCACAGATTTCGCAGTCATCCATATGGGACACATGACAGCGTACTCTTAGTTTGTGAGAATGCGGTCATTTAAGGCTAGCCAAATGAACGTCCTAATTCTTTGTGGGCCATGCCATGTCCATGCAATCTCCCATTGGGTGTCGATTTCATACCATTTGTCCATCATTAGGAGCTGATAAGCTGAGCTCACTGTGAAGCCTTTGTTTCCATTCAGATACCAATGGCATGTATCGAATACAGCACCGTTAGTCCGGGCTTTATTCTGCTCAATCATTCCCAGAATTTCCATCGGCGACGGGTCCTTAAACTCATTCCACTTCCATTGACCGTCATCTGTTACGTAGTGTGATATTGACTTGTGTAGTTCAGCCTCTGCTATGGGGGCGAAAGCCAGGTTCCTTAAGGGGTCTAGGTCTCCAATCCAGTGGTCCGACCAGAACCGTACCCCTTTCCCATCACCGAGGTTCCATTTTACTCCCAAAATAATTTCTGCCCTGATGCTTACTAAGCTTTTCCAGAGGTGAGACGCATTGCGAGCTTTCTCTTGTTACCCAACCTTATCATCGCTGCCATATTTTGCCCTCAAGACTCTGACCCAAAGCTGGTCTGCTTCTGTTTGAGAAACTCAAGAAAATAGTACCAGATGATGAAGATTATCTTAATGATACTTCCTGCTTCTTGTTACTATATTTTGCCCTGGCCCAATCATGAATCCATGATATGATTGCAAGGCAGTATCGTGCATCAAAGGAAATAATCCATCAACAAATCTTATGTTCCTTCAATATGGGTGCTTAAATCTCTCAAGTTTACTCAATTATTTTACAAAACCAAAGCAAGAAGTAGGCTTCCAAAACTCATTATTTTGCACGTTTCTGTTAGGTCTGTGAGTATTAGGCTTATTTAAGTATAAAACAACTTATGATAGAAAATATATACTCCCTCCGTTACTAAATATAAGGCTTATTTTGTACTTTAATATGAAGCATAAATAAGTTTTATTGGGAAAACTAATCCAACAATACTTGTAGTTTTAATATGATTTTGAATTCCTTCAGTGAGCAGTTTAGCAACACACTCTTCAATTCCCCAACCTCTCTCCCTCCACCAGTCCTTTAGAATTCAGCAGAGTTGGGCGACACCATGTTGGAGGAGATTTTTGGGCTTAATAATGGCTTTGTATAATGGAAACAAGCAAACGTACGTAGATGGTTACTTTCATTGCCTCTGTCCCCCCCCCCCCCCAAAAAAAAAAAAAAAAAGAGGTGAAGAATAATATGGCAGCAGCAATAATTTCTTATTTGGCATATTCTTTATCGAGTTGATTATTAACTCTTCAGTAAGCTGCGGGAGGTTGACTGTAAGAACTAACGATGCAAAGGGTGATATATAAGCCTTTAAAGTGTAAGGACCGCACTAAAAAAATAGATAAATTATAAGCACTTTCAAATTATTTTTTTCTAAAAAGTACTCTATCCATAATTTATTATAAGGTTCAAGCAATCGAATTGCATGACTTAATAAAACTATTAAAATTAGTCAAAAGTAGGAAATATATTTTTTATTTCAAATATATCCTTGCGTAAAAGTGGCTAGGTGAGAGTTAGAGAGAGAGAGAGAGATGTTTTGGGAAAAAATAATGAGAGAATATATTAATGAAGGGAAAAATGATAAAAATGTATTTAATATTTAAAAGGTTATTTTGTAACAAGAAATGAATTAATGCAAAAATTTGAATCTTATAATAAAAGGCGGATGTAGTATAATCCACTCGCACGTTCTAAATATTTCAATTACTCCAAAGCCCAAATAGGATGTTTTGGCCATTTTCTCATCCTTTGTATTAGTCTCCAAATGGCTTTTCTGATCCATATGGTTATTGGGCCTTTTTCGTGATAGTAAACCACAATGAGCTTTAAGATCCAGTACAACTCTGTTAAAGAGTACTACTTTGCTTTCACTTTTTAGAGATAGCAAACAGTCTTTTGTAAAATATTTGAGAGTTTTGGAATACTTTAAAGTTTCTTCGCATTCTCAAAGGCAAAAACCACCTACATCTTCCAAAGCATCCCTTTTTCTAAAGCATCCCTCCATCTTTGCAAATCTTTCTTCATGCTTCATGAATGCTTCTGCAAAACTTCCCTTTGTTTCCTGAGACGCACAAGGATATTGCTGTGATCATGGAAATCAAAGGGATGTTAGAGTGGGATTGGTCAGTGGATATGCAGGTCTTTCACAGAGACGGCAATGGCATTGCTGATTTACTAGCCAAAAGAGCACTTAATGGAGCAATGGGTCTGGAAATACTGGGCCCTGAGACAATGATGGAAATATTGCAGGCCACTGATGTTATACTCACTGAAGATAGGAAAGATGGAGGTTATATTCAATGCTCGAGATCTCATGACCAGTTCGTTGCTGAAGAAGATGAGTCTATACTTCCAAGGTACGTGGATCAACCCTTCTGGTTTTAGATTAAACTTTATATTTTATATTAATGCATGCTTGATGGATATTTGAATTTTTCATTGATATGTTAATTCAATATAGTCTTTCAATTCATCTAAATATTATATTTCGTTAATTATTTCATTTCCATAGCAGTTGCTCAATTCAGAGTATTGGCTGGGTTTGTTTTCATATCTTGGAAATTTGTTTTTATTTTGTTGCCTTTTACTTGTAGGACATAATTTAGTTTCAACAGTCTATCAAAGGTCAAACCATATCTTATGTATTCCCTTTGATTTGTGGCACAAGTCATAAGCTGAAGAAAATTTTACCTAGTCATTTGTACGTGTTAAGGACCATACATAGGAAAGGGTCTAGGAGGAAATAATATATATATATATATATATATATATATAGGATCCAATTGCCATGGGCCCACTATATATTATACATATTCAATGTTCTTGTTTTGATGTGAGTGAACCAACTTGAAATATCATTTTACACTATATATTATAATTCAGTACTGTTTAAAATAAGCAAGTATGAGTGGCACGTTTTGTGCAGAAAAGTTGAAAGACGGCAAAAATCAAGAGATGAATCTAATATTGATTTAGGAGGCTGTAGCTATTGGTAGTGGGTGTAACTTCTGGCATCCCCTTGATCGTCTATTTCAGAATTGGGGCCAAGGTATGTTTTAGATTTTTTAAATCGAGGTGTATCTATACTAGTTATAAAATCGTTATAGAAAGCCCTTTTTTTCCATCATTGTAAAAAGTTTGTTTTTGCTGTCAGCTCTAGGTAAATGTTTTCGATCCTTAACGAAATCATTTTACAAAATCAAAGCAAGCAGACTTCCAAAACCCTTCCAAAATCTCTCCAGTTTCGATTAGATTTGTCATTATTAGACTTATTGAAATATAAAGGAACTTAGGATAGACGATATATACATGCTTAACTGCATGATTTTTACCTGGCCGAAAAATTGATCTTTCTTTGACTTCATTATAGGTTGTGTATACAAGTTGGGTAAATCTCACCTTAGAGGAATTCAAGAAGCAAGAGCTAGATACAAAAGCAATTCTTCAAAAACCATCTCCTTACTGAAGGACGGATGTAATTTCAATGAAGCCCATGCAGATATAGCTAATTAGTATAAGGAGGTCTTGCATGTTTCTCTATGAACGCTTCAGTTAGTTTAGGCTTTTTGCTTTTGGGAGAATTTCATTTATGTCAAACTTTTGGCATTGCCTCAGGCATCTATTTCAAACTTGATGCTAAGGCGTATTTCTGATTGTTTACATTGTGCTATATGATGAAGATCATCTAGATGATACTGCTGCTCCTTGATACTATTTTTTGCCTTGGTCAGTCATTATTGCATTGTTCTACAAAGTCACATTTTATGCTTCAATGATGCTAAATCTCTCAAGTGTACGCGAAATCATTTTACAAAATCAAATCAAGAAGTAGACTTCCAAAACTCTTATTATTTTGCACATGTTTTATAATAAATTTGTCATTATTAAGCTTATTTAAGTGTAAAATAATTTAGGATACAAATGTTGTATGCATAACTGCTATACATAACTCTATAGACAAGTTGATACTAATAGATGACTAATTTCTGCATAATATTTACTCGGCTAAAAGGTCGATCTTTCTTTGACTTCATTTGTACGTTGTGTATACAAGTTAGGTGAAATCTCGTCTTAGAAGCATTCAAGAAGCAAGAGTTAGATACAAGAGCAATCTTCAAAAAACATCTCCTTGCAGGATGGATGTAGTATCAATGAGACGGAGGGAGATATAGCTAATTAGTATGTAAAAATCTTGCGTATTTCTATGAAAACATAGTTTAGGCTTTTCACTTTTGTTCTGTTTTTAATGTTGTTTTGTTTTCCTCGTGTATCCAAAAATGAGGGGGGGGGGAGAACAAAACAAAAGTGGTACTTAAAAGCTTCTCATTATGGCTTAATATATCTAAAATCATTGTGACAAGAATTCTTTACTCTAAAAAACCCCAACCAAACAAAGGGTTACGAGAGGATGTATTTCAATCTCTTTTCTGTAGAAATTGGGCTGAAATAATTTTTGCGTCCACGAGCGAAACAAAACAACAGAAAAAACAGAACAAAAGTTTGGAACTGCCCTTCAAGTTTGTTGAGGAAAAGTACTGAGGTCAAGTTAGTAATACCTGTGTAAGTGTGTCCCCAGTAAGCTTCTTCAAAAGTCCCTGACTTGGATCCTACTTTTCACAATTTTCCATGAACCAAGGCCATAAAAGGACACGTCTCAAATGTAATGTGAACTCTCAGTCTAAGTCATTGTTAGTGTGCAGGATAACTTAGTAAACATAAAAATAAAATTCACCTCCTATCCTAAGGTTTAGTATCAATAAAATCCTGTTTTAAATTCTGGAAAATAGCTTTTATGAGCTCCAGTATCACTTAACCAATTCTTCTAAAGCTTTGATGAATACACGAAATTCGTAGCAAGACCAACACATATTGGGAAAATTATCAGTCTAAACTCATATTTAAGAAATGCAAAATCTACAATGAAGTTTCTAAGCTTAATTAAAATGTCCTTGGGGACCATTATATCCTCATCTATCACTGAAATTGATGACAATATTAACACTTAGAGAATGCATCACTGAAATGCTCTCGCTACGTATCTAACCATGGTTTGATTAATCCGTTATTTTCTCCTTTTTCCTTAAAACATTTTGTGGGAAGATTATAAATGATACGGAGATCTGTATCCACATGCGGTGTGTGAAAGATGCTAAGTTAGAATTTCCTTAATTAATAATATGTAAAGAGTAAGATAGTCAAATGACCAATCATATGACTGTATGAGTAATATAGCGCAAGTACCTTTTCTGCTCTCAACGTTATATTTTTGAAAAGGAATTAAAACTCTGACCATGGTATTAACACCTTGTGGTAATCCTGAAACGCAGAATACAGAATACTCCTCCAGTCCTAAATATATGACATTTACACTAATAAAAATTATATTTAGGACCGGAGGAGTATCATATTTTTCTGGGCTTGAAGGAAACTAGATCCATGTGACACGCTTGTGAGCTTCCCTTCCCATGGTAAAAGCTGCAAGAAATTTGTGTTCTGTTGAGAAACCTAGATCATTATAGAAAGAAGTCAAAGAATTGCTAAGTTAAACAGATCCAAAGATGCACTTGATAACTTCAAAGCGGCAAACTAATATGTTTGTAGTTACCTCAGCTTGTTTTGGGCCAAGAGGAATTATGCTCCCAATGTACTTTTCCTTGCAACCCTGCTGATGAATAATATCATGCAATGGGTTAAGGTCCCTGAAATTTTTAGTGCTATGCTCCAGAGTTAGTGATCCACATAAAACACTGTAATTTGTTTGCAATGTTTGAGCTTAGAAGTTAAGAAAGGGAAAGTGCAAAACTCTTGTAATATTGCCAGTGGCGTCAGAAATAAAGGGAAGGCAGAGTGTTATAAACGTAAAAAATTGTGAAGCGAACCGAACAAGGTATCAGGCTATTCTTCATGTTTAACAGTTAAACCATTTTGACCAAGTTTTAATATATTACTGCACCAAAATGAACTTAAGTAAAACAAACGACGCCATATTGCCCAAATTAAGCCCCGCCTGTGAATTTGATATGCTTGGAAGTTAGCACATTCAACTTTGAAAATGCATCAACCACTCCATACAGTACACTATTTTGAAGTAACATAAAGAAGTTTCATAGGGAAAACTAATCCAACAATACTTGTAGTTTTAATATGATTTTGAATTCCTCAATCTCTCTCCTTCACTGAGCAGTTTGGCAACAAACTCTTCAACTCCCCAACCTCTCTCCCTCCTCCAGTCTTTCAGGAGAGTTGGGTGATACCTTCTTGGAGAAGTTTTTGGGCTTCATAATGGCTTTGTATAATGGAAACAAGCAAAAGTATATGGTTACTTTGTTTGCCCCCGTTTTTGTTCATCAAGGGGAAAAAAAAAGAGGTAAAGAATAATATGGCAGCAGCATATAATTTCTCATATGGCATATATTTCTTACACAGTTAATATTAACACTCCAGTAACCTGTGATAGGAGGAGGAGGAGGAATCTTGATTGTAGGGACTAACGGTGCAAATGGTGATTTATAAGCTTCTAAAATGTAAGGACCACACTGAAAAAACGAGATAAATTATAAGGACTTTGAAACTAGTTTTTCCTAAGAGGTACTCCCTTATAAGATTTAAATAATCAAATTGCATGACTTAAGAAAACTATTAAAAGTAGTTAATAAATTAAAGGTTAAGTTGCATTCAGCATTCAAAAATATTTTTTTGGTGTATCCAGTATATTAAAGTATTTTGTTGTGCATTCATCACCGTAAAGTTTTTAAAATATTTTGGAGTGCTGAATGCATCTGAAAAAAATATTTTAGGTTGTTGGATGCACCAAAAAATAATTCAAGATGTTGGGCGCACTTAAAAAAAATATTTTAGCATGCTGGATGCACTTTAACTCTAAATTAAATTACTCATAAACCTTGTTTTATAATTGCTTTGTGCCTGCTCATTCTTTATGAATTCGTTTATAGACATATATTTTTTTTAAAATTTTAACTTAATTATAATCACATACTAAAACTTGATAATTGCTCATCAGAATTACATACCCAGAAAATTAAAGTGGCCACTGTAACATCTTGAATTTTGGGCCTAGAAATATCAAAGTTAGTCTGAAATGGACAAGCTACCAAACTCCAATTGACCGAAATTCTAGAAAATCCCTGGAAGAATGAGACGATTTCTAAAAACCAAATCGCAAAATAAGAATTCTTTAAAACTGTGAGACAAGCAAGTTAGAGACTCCAATGAAGTCTCAAAAACTTGAGTATAGGAATTGGAGATGATTAAGAGCCAGAGATTGTGCTGAGAACCTCAGTGGAAGGATTCATGAGGTTAAACCAAAACAAAGACCTAAATATAAATTTGAAAAGTT